TAATTGCTAGACATACTGTAAAAATGTTCTTCCTTAGCTGATATCAACCCCATGCAAAATGAGATTTTCACTGCACGTCATGCTATTATCCATTTATAAGCGCCCATAACCTGAGTGCAATCGAAAAACTGAAGTACTTACTGTCTACCAGGACAGACTTCCTTGAAAGGTTCCTTTTATTATACATTATTTCTATCATAACTGTTTAAAATTGAGTTGCAGAAGGCCCCTTAAGATTCTATTTAAACTATTTTTTTTCCCTTTTGACAGTATTTTGTTATCACTTTTCATTTAGATAACTAAATTAAACTCAATTACCACTATTGTCTGGATTTTATTCCTTCTGCTGCAATCATCCACATTCATAACATCTCCTCTAGGTAAAAGTGGCTGTCTTTGTTTCATCTGTCTGTTGAGAATGGAACCTTGCTAACTCCCAAACTGAGCCAATGAACTGTTTGAGACGGTGCTACTTGGCACCAACCAATCAAAATTGTCAGATATCAATCAAACAATGTTGCATGCTATGTGTATTTTTATTCCAGAACCCAATAATATTTCCAGGCACTATTTAATTTACTAGTCTACAGAAAGCCATCACATTAGCAGAAGTATTCTTTTCTCAGAAAGATTACCTATTTAGGGTGCCTGCATTTCAGCTCCTTCCTTTCTTCCTTCCCCAAAGTGAGTATTGCTATTATTCAGAACAGTTACACAGTCTCTTGATCCTCAGCTATTCTATCACAATGCAAAATGATTTGTTCGTAGTTTTTCATGCACGTATGCTAAGTGGCAACAACCTTCCTCAGAACAGTGAAAGCCTAACTTCTGAAGAATAATGACTAACAACAAGGGTGGCTGAACTTTAACTTCAAGTAAGTTACATGTCAAAACTCGAAGCCTAGACAGAACAGTGGGATTCCATTAAGATTTCAGTCCTCTAAAAGCATATTTGGCAGTCTTATCTCATTCTCCTAGTCCATTTCTTCATCTGAGCTTCACGAAACATTTGATCTGAATCTATGTTTCATAATAAATGATTCTGCAGAGTTCACTTACCTGATGATCTTTTTTTTTTTTTTTTTTTTTTTTTTTTTTTTTTTCTTTTTCCCTACTATCTTTAAGGAAGAATATCACATCTGGCAAATCATTATTTGAAGATATTTTTCTGTACTATTTGAAAAGTGTTGCCAAAGCATTGGTACTGTTGGCCTGTAGGATTCCTGATGTTCAGATAACCAAAACTTGGATATGAGGAAATCATCAGTGGAGCTGTTGGAGCAAGTACAGAGGAGGGCTACAAAAATGATGAGAAGGCTGGAGCACTTCTTCTGTGAGGAAAGGCTGAGGTAGTTGAGCTTGTTTAGTCGGGAGAAGAGAAGTCTTTGAGGAAATCTCATTGCAGCCTTCCAGAACTTAAAGGGAGCTTATAAACAAGAGGGAGACCAACTGTTTACCCAGGCATATAGAACATGTGGAAATGTCTTTAAACTGAAAGAGGGAGATTTAGTTTAGATATTAAAAAAATTTTTTTTACTCAGAGAGTGGTGAGTCACTAGAGCCAATTGCCCAGAGAAGATGTGCATGCCCCACTCCTGGAGATGCTCACGGCCAGGTTGAATGGGGTCCTGGACAACTTGATCTAGAAGGTGGCATCAAGGAAAGCTTTAACATCTCTTTCAACCCAAGCCATTCTATGATTCTGTGATATGGGGAAGTTTACAGTCATCAAAATGCTTTCCACAGTGGTATCATTTCTCAGATAATCATAGTTTGTCTTTTATTCCTTATCATGCAATATAAAATCTAAAATATCCATAAACCAAGTCAGAAGGAATTTCTTTATTGCAACTCAAATGTTTTAATAAACGTCGATGAGAGAAGTTTCACAGATCTTGAGGACTGTAGCTTAGTATCAATGAAGTATTCATTTTAGTATCTAGTGTCTTACAGCTCCTAATTATCTTTGCAGCAGGTTTTTTTCCTTTCAGGCAGTACAGGAAGATAGTCTTAACATGACATTTTCTGTCTTGGTGAGTGCATTCCAGTGAGCTTAAAGTCAAAATATTTAATTCTTTGTCAGTCTCCATCAGCTGTATCTATTCTCAGATTGCTATTTACAATATCATATATAGATATATGGATGTGTCTGTAGTACAACTACGTGAACTGATTGATTATGCATAGAAATTTATACACACTTTTGTGTTTGCAACTACAAGCCTGTGGGGGAATCAAACCCTAATAAATATTTGTGAAATTGTTTAGCTTATCACATGATGGAAAAACAAAGACTACATGTGAAAAGAGGAGCAAACAAACATGCAGTCTATAAAAGCCGGAGTTATGGTGTGGCTGCATTTATAAAGCAAAGAGGTAACTGTATGTCCAATAATAATAGCAGTATTCTGTGTAATGACTTCTCGTAATTCACAAATTAGATTGATCATCTACAGGGATCTTTAAACATATCCTGCCTTCCTCTTATTTACATCATATATATGTCCAACTGGCCACTGCTTTGTCAAGATAGCAGACATCATTCATTCTAATGGTCTGATATACTGAGGCCAATTCTTCATTTTTAATTTATGAGTTTTCCATAGTGCAGAAAGCCACATGTACTTTATAACTTACAAAGGAAAGAAAAAGGAAGAGAGAAGAAATTTGACTTAGGGTAACCATTTTAACATATTTCATCAAAAGAATGGATAAAATATTTATTCAGCTAGTGTCCTTTGCATTCCCATCAAAGTGAATAGAGATACATTTAATAACACATGGAAACATTAAAGAGGCTTTTTATCAGAGTGGATGGGAACCTGTTCAGAACAAACATTCTGGCCTAAGGGAAAGTTTTTGATCTGTGAATCTTAAGATTTTGGTGCTTAAAACACTCTCAGATCATGTGATCAATTTGCATGAAATAAATGATTTGCTTAAAACTTGTAAAACTGTAAAATAGAATTTGACAAGTCATTAGCAATAAGTGGTATTGCACTGGCATTATACTAACTAGCACTGGTGCAATCATTAGCTAACTGCTGCAGCAGCAAAGAACAGGAAAATAATAGGGCCATCCTATACTTTGACCTAAAAGTGTTAGGTCAGTGCTCCACACAGTAGATACCACTCTGAAATCCAAATTATTGGCTACCTTTTCTTACTAGTTACCTACTCAACATTTTGAGGCACTGTACTTTATTATTTTTAATACAAGGCAATTGATGTAAATTGTAAAATTTATCATTTTTGTCCATCTAGTATAGTGATCTAGAATAAATACAAACAAATTAAACATAAAATAAAAACAAATATCTAACAACTGTCCAAGCAAATAATCAAAACTAGCAGAAAGAATAATATTATTTGCTCATTCTTCATTAAAATTTACATTGTTTCAGTTTTCCTTCTGAACTAGGATGTTCAGACTGAATTAACAGTTAATGGAGTTTCTGTACATTGACAGAGGTTATAGATGTAATATTTCTGTTCTCACTGGAAACAAATGCTACTCAGCATCTTGTTAGCTCAGTTAGCAATTGCAAGATGTTTTTTTTGAATCAGAAAGTGGAAAATTATGGCTAGACATCTGAATTCCTGAAGTTTGCCTACTGCTCATTTCAGTCACATGAGGCTAGTGACATTCTGTGATGAAATCAATATTCAGTTGTGACTACTGACAAGACAGGAAATACGTCTAAAACCTGAGATATTTACCAGTTGTTGTGTAGTGCCTTAAGTACATTAATTTTATCAGTGGCTCGGGCATATAAGTCTAGTTTGAGTAACTCCATGTGTGATATTTTATATAATCTAGCAGGTAAAGTAAGATTGCAAATTATTTGCCTGCAATCATATGTACGCTGATGAGATACAAAAACTTTGAGACTATGGTGCTTAAATTTCACTGCTGCCTTCAAGATGATGTTTTTCTCATGGTGCTCAAATCCCACTGCTACCTTCAAGATGATGTTTTTCTCATGCATTCTCATGAGTATAAATGCCTTTGTAAATGAGAAGGGTAAGTATGATACTCCAATTTCCAAGGCTCGTTTCAATCTTTATTTCTCTTCTGAGTCTACCACCAAGCACAAGGCATGCATTTGAGTTTTTGCTGTGGAGCTGAATCTGAAATCTAACAGCCTGATTGCATGTGTGCTCCTGTGCAGTGTGTGCTGGTGCATATGACTGTACTTGTATTGTATTCCACTAATACATGTATTTCACAGGATACTAGAGAAACTGTGCTGTCCAAGTGACAATGACATAATAGTGAATAAAAATAAATGCCAGATATTAAAAAAATAAACAGAAGAAAATCAGGAAACCTCAAATTGACATTATAAACTAGAAAATAAATATGTGTTTGTTAATACTTGAAGAAACAAAGTGAATACTGGGTATCTGGTTAATACAAAAAAGCCCAATTTAAATCTATGAGAAAGTACAGTTCATAACTCCAAGAGAGTTGAGGTATTTCACTTGGCAGTGGGAATCAGAAGTTAAGCAGTATTTACAAATGTACAACCTGTTTGGTGTTGGGTAATTAAGAGCAGTACATAAGGATGGGAAGCATAATATTTTTTAGCAGAGTTTCTAGACATTCGTAATAAGTGGACTAGAAGGAAAAATGAAGATCATTTGCCTGCCAGAAGAAAACATGCTTTTACCGTAGATCAGACATCATGAATATGTAACATTATTATTATAGTATTATTCTTCTGAGGTTTTTAATCTCATGAAGAAAAATGGACCTGTAAGCATTTCAGCACATGCTTGAGTCACTTGGTCTTTATTGATTTAAAATGCATCTCTTAAAGTTAAATCACTATATTTTTTTAGAAATACGTTTTATTCCTATGGTGTCTGGAAGATAACAGATATGTGTGAAATGTAATATTTTATACATGAGCAATTCTGAAGGGAAATCATCTTCCTTGCTCAGATTTTTAGTTAATGTATTTTCCATGTTTCTTAACCTGTATATTCACGTGCAGGACATAAGGAAATGGTATCACCTCGTCTTCTTCTAGAGCATAGTCCAAGAAAGAAACCAGCAGCTATTGAAGGCAAGTTTGTCCTTTTTTTTTTTCCTCCTTTGTAGATTTCTATGTTTTAACTTGATGTTCTATTGGATTACTAATATTTTTATAAATATAACCAATAACACAAAACCTTCGAGTTTCTAGACCTAGGGAATGAATGAATATAAACATGTTTGCATTGCAAGACCTAAAAATTACTTTCAGTAGTCCCACAGATGGCTCAGGGGATTGCCTGCATGAAATAGATTTCAAACCAAAGCCCAATCTCTAAAATGCCTTGGATGGTGTCCAACTATATGTTGCCATCTAACTATAAAACACAACTAGCATTATCCTCTTAATTTGTGTTGATTAATCTTTGAGCTATTATTATTCAGACATTTTTTCTGTGTATTTTCTACGGTAATGAAGATAATATTTCTGGCTTTATATTTATCCCAATTGTTAAAACCACCGAAAAATAATATGCACGTATAAAGTTAGATCTTACTTTCAGAAGATTGACACTTCAATTGAATTATGTTGCTTACAGTATAATCATATCAATGAGATTCCTGAAATAAGCCTTTAGATTTTAAAATGGACTATGTATGATGACTTAAAACAACTACTGCAACATGCATTCTTGGTCTCTACATCAAAATACTTATTGATACAAAATATGTTAGTCTTCTTATGTAATTATTTAGCAGATTTCATATAGGGAAGTCAGTCACACCATGGGATTTGCTAGTAGAGGTCTTAGTTTTAATCTATTCAGAAATAAATTGCAGTTAAAACAAACAAACAAAAAAAAAACAAAACAAAACAAAACAAAGGGATAGTAGCAGCCTAATTAACAAGATGCTAGATTTGCCTGCATTTGTAAATGGAATATGAGAGCTTTTAGCAAAACCTGAAACTTGAAACAAAGACTTAAATTAATTTGATATTTCTCTAATGTGATTACTGTGAATCAGAATGTTTGGATAAGAGCAACTAAGTGACTTTGTATCTTTTTTTCCATTTTACCTCACGAAAAAAAAAATACACAATACACCATGCTATTTCTTAATAGATACACTGTGTGAAGGAGTATAAATCAGTATTTACAGAGACACAGCACCGTATATAAATAGGTTTGTAGTTTTGCCAGTTTGAGGCAAATGTTTAAACCCTGCTTGTCAGCAAAAAGAAGTCCACGTTAAACACTGTTATCCACCAATTCGCCATAATGGTAAAAAAAAAAAAGAAGAAAAAGAAAAAGGAAAAAGCAGAAAAGCGCATAGGAGAAAAAGATGGCTGCATTTGTTGAGTGATAAGCTTAATCTTAAATATAACTGTTGCACAACATAAACTAGCATCAAATTAGCGTGAAGTTCTTGATTTTCAAAATCATGAGGCGCATGCAATTACTGCAATTGCGCATGGAAATGAGTATTTATGACCATTTACACATTTCTGTGTTTCATTAGCTCATTTATGCGTGCAATTGAGTTAATTGTGAATGTAAATTAGACACTCATTTGGCAAACAAACTGGGGGGCAGATTTTCTGCTCAGAATCATTCAACTAAATTCTCTTCAAGGATAAAGCCTATCACTAGGATACAATATCCATGTAAGATTTTTGGAATAAAGAAAAAAGGAAGAATAACTTGTAAAATGTAGATGTTAAAAATTATTATAATGTAGTACTGTGTTATATATATATGTGTGTGTGTATATATATACATATATATATATATATATATATATATATATATGAGAAACAAACAAATATATATTTCCATGCTTTAGGTGCCTTAAACTCTGAGGTTTTATTTCAGATCTTGGGAAAATAATAAGTAATTTATAAGAAAATTTGACACGATATCAGAAAATGTCTGAATTCCTGGAATGGTCAAGAGGATGTCTATCTGGTTCTTTTTAATGTTTATCATGCCTTTTTGAGCAGTACATCCCTAGATATTACTGAAAGGACTGGTTTTTATTCTAAAGTATGATAACTTCTCAGGATAGTGAACAAGTACAATCATTAATTAATTGAGAAATGTAATTTAGGAAAGGACTTTGGCAAACCCTGAAGAAAAGGTAGAATTGTTGGAAATAAGAGAATAATTGTCACAGAAAAAAATAATCTATTTAGACCCTATGCTTTCCAGTTAAGCAACAGAGGGTAAATACAAAAGTATGCAGCTAGTAAAAGTTGAAAAGATTTGATTCTTTTTTTCTAGATGGAGATGTTTTCATTACTGCTCTGTTTTGCACCTGTCTTCTTAAGTAATCTTCTTGATTTCTTGATTTCTGATAATGTGAAAATAATGGCAGTATGTACCAGATATTTCTAATATTACTAGGCATTCCAATATCTTAAAATAGAAAGTCTTTCCTGGCTAATATTCAATACTAAGTAGAAATCATGCTCCGCTGAATTCATGAGGTCTCTTAGACAATCAGCACATTGTTGTTATGTTTTAAATCTCAATCATTTTCTGCTTGTCATTGACCTCCCTTTATCTCTGTAGGAAAACTTTCTGACAAGAAAATCTTAACTTGTATGCTGTATTCTCAGTATGAAATATAGAGCATTGAAGTACATAAATATGAACTGAACTTTTCAGTTATATCCAAGTAGGAAAGTAAAATTCTTTGTACTCATTTAGTCAGAAGGGAAAGAACTATCATTACTGTCCTACTTCATGGTGTTTAGGCTCTATTAAAAAAGCACTGCTATCTTGAGATCCTACATTCAAAGTTCAAAAAGGCTTTGAAGTTTTAGGTTACAGACAGAAAAGTATAAGCAAACAAAACTAAACCAAAGGAAAACAAAGTAACAAAAATATCCAGAAGCAATAAGCAAGAGAAAGAGGAAAAGGGAATCTATGGAGATGAAGACATGGATTCAAACTTCTATTTGAATTCCAGGTCTCCAAACCTTTACTTACCAGCCATGAAATAGAACAACTCATTTAAAATCGTTTCTCTTACACTTCTGGAAGCTTCACTCCCACCTCTCTCAAACTAGCACTGTGAAGCTGCTATCTAGAGAGGAAACTGGAACTGACTGTTACTTAAACAAATCTGCTTTCTGTGACTCTCTGAACTTCTGGGTTTAATATGCATCTCCTGTGACTGTCTTCTCTACCTCTTTTAATGGTGACTTTCTTGTGTTTTGTTATCCACTGACATCCTATGGCTGCTCTGCAATGAATGTTGGTTCTCTGTGAATCTACTTTCTCAGGTCTTGACGTTTTTTTCCGAGATCACACAGTTTTTAGCTTTCTTTATTGCCTCTGAGAAAGACAATCCTGCTGTGTCCTCTGACATGGCTGAGCAATTTCTAGGGAAGATGCTGCAGTTAGACAATTAATACCAAAACCATGTTCAGAAGCTTGGTTAGTTATTAGTAAAATTTCATATTAACTGTTACAGAAAAATATGTCTTCATTTTTTCACGAGTATCTTTGTGAGAAGGCTATATCTAAATCCTCTCAGTGGAAGACATCTTAATGCACATTACCCTGTGATCTCCAATAGCATGCTTTGTAGCACAAAAGTACTTTGAAGAGCATTGTATCACAAAAATGCTTTGAACATCATTGCATGTGAGTGCGATTTTCCAGGCTATATTGTCCTAAAAAGGTCACATCTTTGAATGGAAGAGCATTACGGAAGAGTGATTAACATAATTGTTCTGATCTGCTAATGGATCATGATAGGTTCTAAAATTTCTCCTTCCTTTGACTGCTCTTTGCCATCTTGTTATTATTTGTGATAATACACGAAGTAGAAGAAAAAGAAAGAAAGAAAGAAAGAAAGAAAGAAAGAAAGAAAGAAAGAAAGAAAGAAAGAAAGAAAGAAAGAAAGAAAGAAAGAAAGAAAGAAAGAAAGAAAGAAAGAAAGAAAGAAAGAAAGAAAGAAGGAA